GATGCGCATCCCAATAGAATGAACCTCGTGGACAGCAACATCTGTCTGTGTGAAAACGGTTACGATGACAACGATCACGCGGTTTGGCAATGTTCGGATAATGACGCTGGCAGAGAGTGACCCTCGAGGCCCAAGACATACAGCCCTATATCCCTATCAGAGACGTTGGGAATCCGCGATATCTGCTATATGCAGTCGATTTATGTGTTTCTGCAAATGTTTTGTATAAAAAATTAATTCCTTTGTCTTTCCTTATTAGTTTTGGTTTGTCTTGTCACCCGTCTCGATGAGTCTCATCGTCACCGACTGATCAACATAACCGGTTGAACTCCAAACGAATCTAGAACCGCACTGCCGTTCATACTGGCGACATCGTTCTGATGAGACATCGAAACCCCACTCTCCTGATCATATCCTTCAACTATGTACCTACCCCTCTAACCCTCGGGTAGGCCGCGAGTATTCGGCTCAACTCCTACTAGACATAGAAATATGTCAATTTTGTTACAAACAATGAACAATGAATGATCGGCTCCGTAAAGCTAACGCGATTGAGCCTTCCAAATAAACGAACTATATAAAAAGAAAAAGTGACAGGTGAAAAATGAACCATTCAAAATTTCTACCATGTCACTGCATTTTCCCGGACAGATCAAGGAGGAAGTCCCTCAGGATCAAGACCAAGCCAAACTGAACCAAGAATATTAGAGTTACCAGAAGCTCGAAATACAAAAGGAAGAATATTAAATGGAAAATTCCGATTTGCAGAAGGCCGATTTGGAGAATTGGTTCGAAGATTACAATGCTCGGGAGTTGAGACACATTTGGGAAGCACAAATGGCGACTCACGATCAGCTGCGGACGCTCAACACGAAGCTGGACGAGGTGATTAGCCGTCCGAAGCGAATACTCGGACTGTCCTCGGTTCAAGGTGGAGGAGGTGTGCCACCACCTCACGTTACACAACAGCAATCCGTAGATGCATCCAAGATCGCTACCAGAAGCACCATTCAGTGTCACGGAGTTGATGCGATGCTGTTACCGAGATCCGTTCAATTATAGACGAACCGAATTCTCGAGCGGATTCGATTCTGAACAGCCAGGCCATATTACACTACTAGCTATGTCTCTTCCTATCATGTCTACAGCTTCAACCCACATCTATCTTCGAATATTACCACGCACCGATCAAACTTTAGGAAAATTACGAAAGCTTGTTTTTTGGTGGCCATATTTTGCGTGGGATCCATCCACGCAACACTGTACAAACAATTTTCTGTATCTGAGAAATAAGCACACTTATGAATGTTGAATAAAATTAAAATATGCACGAAATAGACTCAACCAAAATTTAATTAAGTATTCTCCCGTCACTTTTCAAACCGACCAATTGATCGATTTTCTCTCGTTAATCAGTCGGCTCTAAAAACATGTTCAGTTGTTCTTATCGTCCAATACACTTAATAATACTTTCATTTAGCAGACTATGTAAGCAAATTAGCCCTAAATATGAATGCAGTATAGTTATTAACGAAAGAGGGAATCGATGAAGGGAATCGTTCAATGTAGATTGGTCTATTTGAAAAGTGACGCGAGATTTGTTTTGCTTGTGATTTCAAAGTGCAGTCAATTTGCTTTAATCATGGCCATCTTGGTAATCATCATATCTCGATTACTTCTTCGAATGGACGTATCAGCTTTTGTAAACAATGCATTTGATCGTCGATTTGGTGTAACTGGTAGCTCGCCCACACATGCTAACATGGGAAATTTTCCCCTACCTGCTAGTGTTGTTAGTAAGTGTGTGCCAGCTACCAGTTGCGCCAAATCGACGATCAAATGCATTGTTAACAAAAGCTGATACGTCACTTTGAAAAAGTAATCGAGATATGTCAGAAAGGGGTAATTCAAATGTTATAGTGCTGGAGCGTAAAAAGCTGGATAATCTCTTGAAATATTCCTCACAATTCCTTTAGGGGGGATCCATTTAGTACGTCACGCTCTAAGGAGGGATGTCCCCTTACAAAATCTTTTAAAATATCCGCGGTATTCTTCTTAGAATTGCCATAGAGATCTGCTTAGAACTTTATTAGAGTTCTTCTCAGAATTCTCCTGTTAACTCCCTAGGAACTCTGCTGAGTAATCTACCGAATTACACAGGGCATCCTTCTCTATATTTCCTCTCGAGCAGGGCTGTGGAGTCGAAGTCGGAGTCAGAAGCATTTTTGAGCATAAGAATGACAGTTAATGTGATTATGTCGCAGCGCTTAGTGGGCAAAAAATAAGTGGAAGTGTCTGAATATTGAAACGGCAACAGATAAGGACTGAACACAATGATAGCGGCAAACGCGCAATGTACTAAAACCGCACCAAACACTGTACCGCAGCCTTTTTGCCGCATTCCTACCCACAATGCATGCGCGCAAAATCTATTTATTTTATCTGTACGCAGGCTGTACGTAAACAAACCACGTAAACGGGATTATTTTGACTGCAGTTTTGAGTTCGTGGTCCTGAGTACATAATATGGCCACCAATGTTCATATTATTGGATTATCATGTAGTTTGATGTGTCACATGAGGATGTGTCCGGATCTGACCAACGTGTTACTGAGTACGTAATATGGCCACCAATGATCTTAGTTTTGAATTTTGTTGTAGTTTTATGTCTCGCATGAGGGTGTTGAGAAGAACGTGTCCACTTCCCGGGGGTACCCGGAACATGTCCGGATCTGACGCCCTGTTTACATTATGCTGATTTCTTTTTAGTACAGTTATAGCACACTAGCACCAGCACACCAGCACATATGTAAACACTCCATTCATGCTGATGGTGATTTTTGCCAGCAGAAAAATTATCAGCGACAGTGAACCAGCATAAGTGTACACCGGGCGCTGGTTCAAACCAAGGGCCTGACACGCCGTCATCTTTTCGTAGCCAGTATTCAAAAAAATATCGCATATCAATCCAAGCTACATGGCTACATGTTATTAGTAGAGTAGTAGAGATAGGGGTGGCACCACCTTGGTTCAAACTGCTTAATATTCTAATTTAATAAGCACCAAGAACAGAATGATTAACGCTTTGCATACAAATCATTTGTTTGTTAACTGCAGCCGCATCAAACGGTGATTCAACTAATCCCACTATCATCCATCGCCTGTACAGCAGTACTAGCGGTGAAAATGTTAACAGAATAATTTATTTTCCAATTCGAACATTAAAATTCAACCTTCCGATTCCAATTGTTATTATCTCCGCTAGCAACACATAGGTACTATAGATCCCATATTTTCATGGAAAATACAAGACCTAGTTTGTTTTTAAATACCATACGGGAAATTGTGCAATATGTATACCTGCATGCATTAGTATTTATTTACCCGAACATTTGACACCCCGTACAACCGAAGCAAGCGTGGCAGCTGTTACCGTACGTGAGAGGAATTTGGGAGAATCATGGTCTGTCATTGGAATTGTCAACTTCATGTTCGATTGATGTTGGGGCGCAGGCGTATCGACGTGTGTCAGCAGGTGATAATGATTGAGTGGAGACCGGCTGTGGTTGTTAACCTTGCAGGCATCGTTAGTGTCGTTCCGTTTCGCGGGAAGATGCTCTTGAGTTCGGTCAAGTGCAAGTACGACTACGATGTTTGGCTCGTAAATGAGTCGAAGCAATCCACGACGCGATTGCGTTTGAACTTGTCTGAACTTTTCTGCGGTGGATTGCTTAGATTTGCAAATTGGCAACTGGAAAAATATGAACCGCTATACTTTGATATCGCACACACTTTTTTGTACTGATAGGTACTTTGTTTTCGCACACGTACCGGTTGTAATGATTTCGATGGCTACACGTGACAACAGTGATCGATGACTTTTAATTTGATACGGCTTTCCGTTGGATCGTTAATTACACTGAGTGTGCAGTTTTATTACATTTCTGAGCTATCCAATTAAACGATGACGTGTTGCTTTGAGCTGCTAAATCGGACTTAACGGCCCGGCGTAGTGGTTAACATCCATACTTCGCACGCCAAAGTCACGAGCTCAAATCTCATTCCTGGACAAGTCACGAATGACCCAATAGTGTAAAGGTGACTATGATAAATAAAAAAAAAACAAATAAACCAGAATTGCCAGAGTAAAATTATCTCCGTCTGAATTTCGGCTTGAAACTGACGCACATTGGTTTGTAAATATTACGATACCCGTCAGACTTGTTTACTAATTGGAGGTGTTTTCATTTGGCTGAGAGTCCCATTTGTTGGTGTTCATAGCGAAAATCTTCCAGGATATTTTGTTGCTTATTGGATTGAAATTAGCAACAATTAGACGATAGAGCTCTGATATAAAACTGGAATCTATTTTGATATGATTATTTCCGCTCTTGTGGCTAAGATTAGTGCGACTATTCACTGTTAATTTACTTTCAATGTTGATAAACATTTTTGCTGGCGACTTTTAAATAAATAAATAGGAATGTATAAAAATAATTAAAAATTAATAATGATAAAAGAGATAATACCGTGCATCGGGATCACTCAGAGTCAAGGTTCACATTCTATGGAACTTACTTTAGGATAATCTGATCATCGAAAATAGTTGAAAACGTAGAGCGTAAATTTCCTGCGGTAGAAGTTGTTAGCACATGTTTTTACTTCCTATTTGATGCGTTCTCTTGGTTCCAGAGATCTACATCAAACACGTTTGACAATCAGCCTACACTTTCATACCGTTCACTTCTAAGCATATCACACCGGACATATTTCTGACCAGACTGGTTAGCATTGATTTTCGACTGCGCGATACAATCCTCACTAGAATTCAGTGCTCTTAAATTCGGTTGTAGATCACCTTCCGGCTGCTAACATTTATGAATCCCGCACAACTTTATCGATCACAGTCTCCTTTCTAACTACCAAATGTGAAACGCAGCCAACTGACAAAGATTGAAAAAACCAGTTTTAAAACAACCTGCGTCTGCATCGATACTGACCTTGTAGTTTGGCCCTCAGTTCCTTGATCGCCTCTGCAATGACGTCGGGCGTTTCTCGTAGTTCACGTGCTGCCTTCTCCTTGGACTTCGGATCGGTGAATTCGTCATTTTCGAGCCGAACGAAGTAATCCCGGCCCAGATCGATGTAGGGCACTTTGCCATCGTCAAACTTTATCGTCGCCATCTGCGATCAACGAAAATCAAACAATCAATCTTGGGCAATCTAAGCAGCCCTGTGGGCAAATAATAATGCCACCACCGACGCGTTTTTGGTTGCTTTGATTCTCTCTTGTGCACTTTTCGAACAAGCTACCACGTTCGAGAGGGAGACGAATTAAATTATGTGTGTAAAATAGCAAATCGCTTTACCCTTGCAGAAGTTTCGCAAGTATTTCTCTTGTTGTTGGCAACTCCGCAGCAGCTATTATGTAGATGAATGGACTGTACTGTGTGTGGCCTCCAGAGAGATGCTTCTCACGGGTGACTACGGACAACCACAACCAACCACGCGCGCGAGTTTCGACTGCTTGGATCCCACCAAGCACAGAGCTAACCGAACGCGACGGAGAACAGACACTAAATGATCGAACACCCTATATTGCGCGCGATTGTCGATCCTCACCATCTAGGCATTAGCGGGTTCTATAATGGAAGTGTGTATTTGTAAACAACAACCTGTGTGCGGTCTATGGGCTGTGATGAGCAATTGTGTGGCTGAATCTGCATAGGAAAAAGTGCTGTTCTCATCAGTAGGTTTTAGGTTTTTGAATTGTTAGATGAGTGGAGTGAGAAACTGTTGAAGGGCTATTAAATTAGGTGAGTTGAGAACTTCATTTGACGCGGTTGTAGATCGGAGCAGTCTAGGTTTAATATTGCGCGTACGACTGAAAATCGTGACGACATTTCTCGCTGGCATCACTGGCATCCCGATATGTTGCTAATCCGACTAGCGCACTTCGGTTTAGTGCACGCGCCAAAGATAAGTAGTGTGAAAGTACATGACATTGCGCCACTTCTGGAAACAAAACAATCATGATGAGTTATTCTAATTTTCAGCTAACTTCAATATTGACTTCAAAGATGACTAATTTCCTAGTTTGAAATTAAATAAAGAACCGGATGCATAATCAATTAATTTCATATTAATTACTATTGGGAATACATCTTGAAACAAGTTTGATTTCTTCTGGAGAACAATTCAAACGCGTGCGAAGTTTTTATGGCTTTCTTTGATATTTTATTCTTCGAGTACCTTCTGCATCGTATTCGCCTATCGTTAGGCTACGAGCCCACCGTAGGGTGGCATGAGTTTGTCGGTTGATTAAAGAAATAAACGATATACAGTAAGAGTCTGATTCTGGCAACACACACATTTTGACTTCTTAGCTTTGCACAAGTTTTAATAATTATCACGACTAAAGCTTCAAATTCAAATCAAATTAAATACACTGGAAACGTGTTGCAAAAATTGGATCCTTACGGTATTGCAATGATGCAGATGCAGATGTTAGTTTGAGGGAAGTCTTATTTACGTCAGATAAACGGTGGATATTGAATTATGTATGTATTCTACTATACCTCGAGAAACCAAATATAAAAAAGCTGCCGTCTGCAGCATGTTTGCTCGAATTTAAAACTTGAAATTCAGCAATTCAATAGAAAAGTTGAGTTGAGTTTGTATTGAATATTTAAGTTCTATACATCACTCAGGGCTCGAGAAATACAACCCAGATACCCATTAGAGATGTCTTGGCGAGCTGACATCTCGACTATTTTAATTTAATTTATGTGTTTTTTAAACGGATAAATCTGAGGATTTAGTAGTTAGTGTCATCTTGTGTTCTTCAAAGTGGATCAAGGACGGGCAGATCGTTTACGGGCCAGTCGGATGGTGACATGAACAACCACTCCGGACCACTCCACCAGAGCAAGTGGTCTTTGATGTCAACTGGATTAACGCCACGGGAGAGAGGATCAGCTGGATTGGATACTCCGGAAACGTGTTTCCAGTGACAGGATTCTGTTATTTCGTGGATCTTGGTGACCCAATTACCTACGGACTTTTTCCATAGGGATGGCGATGACTCCAACCAATGCAGGACAGTGGATGAATCAGTCCAGAAGAAAACTTCAGCGGGCTTCTGTATGGAATGTACCACCTTCTCGTGTAGCTTCGACCTGGGAGCTTCGACAACAACAATACTGCTGCGCACAACCCCAGACGTGCGATAGTGTGTGATTTGGCCAACGGACCCACCTTTGACTTGGACGCCAACAGCTGGACTTTAACGGCTCCGGCAGACTCTGACCGGACGTAGCAGCACGATCCATAAGCCTTCAACGACGCGTCGGAGAAGAAGAGGAATTGGAAAGATGTTGTGTTGGCCAACAATACATAGCGAGGAATCCGGAGTGTGGCGATTGTATCGAGCCTTCCATGGAATTCCATCCACTTGGCTTGGTGGGACCAATTAATCATATTGTCGAGCAGTTTTGGGACCACCTTCTACCTGCGATTTTACGGAAATGAAACAATCAATTTCAGATTTTTCAAACATTTTACAAAAAAGACCCTATTTTCTCGAGGTTGTAGAAGAAAAAATATTAAAATATTGTTCCACGTTAAAGTTCGAGTGGTAGGAAACGTCATTTTAAACTGCTCGAATGATGTGATCCATAACAGTAATCCGAAACAGGAGATTCTTATGAGTGGGATCGTCCTCTTCCTCCACATCTCCAGTCCGAGTGGAAGGAATTCCATGGAACGCTCGATACAATCACTACACTCCGGATTCCTCGCTGTGTATCGTTGACCAACACAACATCATTCCAGTTCCACTTCTCCTCCGATGCGTCGTTGAAGGCTTATGGATCGTGCTGCTACGTCCGGTCAGAGTCTGCCGGAGCCTTTAAATTCTAGCTGTTGTAGCTCCATCATTTGGTCCTTCGAGCCGGATCGAAGGTTCCCCTGAACAGAAGGGCAGGTGCGGTGAGTACACCATTTTCGTTTCTTCCATGCGCTGGCAATTGTTCGACCTGTAGTTGAGGTCAAAGGCTTTGTACGGCTGACCAAAGCCGAGCCAATTTGATGCCATTTGTATGCGCAAATTGAACAAGAGCCTCCACACAGTAGGCAATTTTTTTTCCACCCGTTTGCTTTGGCGAATCAACGGTGTGCTCGACTGAAGAGATTCAAGGAAAATTAAATGGATTGGATATCCTAGAATCGCAAATTGATTTGATTTTTCATTTTGCATGTGTGTATTTAATGGTGGTGGTGGGTGGAATGTTGAGTCGCGTGGGTGGCACGTCCGTGTCGGGAAGTAGTTATTTACGTTCGATTTGCGTACCATCCTCGGGTATTTTGTCCGTGTAGAAAGTGGCCCACCACGATTGTGTAGTGAGCCCAGCGAAGAAGTTGGCCGAATGTCTTATGAAACGGAAGGCACTACTCGTCATTCGTGATTCCGTTGAGGTGTTCATCAAGAAGTACGACAACTTAAACGGTATCACCCTAATCTAATTGATAAGAGAAGAGAGATGGAAGCTGCGCGCATGCGCTACACACTGATGCCCACTTGTAGTAGTCACTAAATACATTGTAAATATGTAGGATAGAAGAGACAATTGTAAATAGAGAAAGTACAAAATAGGTATACCGTCGGAGGAGATACACATCCCTTTTTTTCTGTCCTTTTGTCCGGTCGTGGAAGAAAAGGAAAGAAGTGCAGTAGTGCAATTATTTAACGATTTCCTGGTTGATCCGAAAGTGCACGAGTGAAGTGCAACTGTGTTTTAAGCAAAACTTGCAGTAACTATATCCCCGATATCCCCCGAAAGTTCGTGATTACTGCAATACAAGTGCATCAGGCACGACTTGTGGAAACACTGATTCGACATACATCGACCAGTAAATCCCATCAACAATCTTCTGGGCCGTCGATTTCACGGCGGAGGAAAATTCTTCGAAAAGGAACGGGTAAGCCCTAGCAATAAGCTAGTTCTATAGTGTATACACCAAAATATCAAAAATGATCCGATAGCTTCAGGAAAGCCCCAAAGATTTCAGGAAAACTCACTTCAGTAAACGCCAACAAGCTTGAGTGCAGTTCCATTAAGTTCAGGAACATTGCAAAAAAATTTCAGTGAACTTCATGGTAGTTCTGAAAACTTCAGGGCAGTTAGATGATTCCAGGAAAATAGCCGGAACTTTCAAGAAGTTCCAATAACTTAAGGATACAGTATCCAACCCTCCCCCCCCCCCCGCTAATTCGGCTCTCATTAATCCGACGACTCGATAATCCGACATCACGGTCTCTTATGGAGCTTTTTATACATTGTTAAGTTGGTATCATTTATTTGTAAGGATTCGACGGTCGGATTATCGGACCAACCCCGCTAATCCGGCCACACATTTGTCGGATTAACGGGAATACTGTGGTTTATTGAACTTCAAGGAATTTTAGTGAACTTGAGAAAATATTCACATAAATTTTAGGAAATTTAAAAACTTTCTGAGTAATGAAAGGAAATACCGATAATTTGAAGGGAGTTCCATAAATAATCTGTGGGAACATAAAGTTCCGAAAACTTTTGGAAAATTATAGGAACTACTGGGAAGCTTCAATAATCTTAATGCGGTTTTATTTGCTTCATAAAAACTGCAAGATTTTAAAAGAAGTTCTGAAAACTCCAGAGATATCAAGAACACTTCAGGATAATCAAGAGAACTTTAAAGAAAGGAGAACTTGAGGAAATTTTTTGAAACTTTATAGAAGGTCCGAGTATCTCAGCTAGGAGTTGAGATTTTTAGGGATTTTCAGAGATCTTAAGGGTGAGTCAAATAATTTAGGATCTTCAGGAACGTGCAGACTTTATGGTAAGTTTGAAGATCTGTAAGGATAGGTTCCGATAATTTCTAGACAGTTCAATTAACCTCTGTAAAATTTCAAGAACCTTGAAAATGTTCCGGGAATTTCAGGAAAGTCCAGAGATCTTCAGAGATATATTTCGGAAATAGAAGTCTAGACTACTTCAGGGATGTTTAAAGCTTTCCAGATCAGTTCCATTTAAAGGTTGAACACGAAAATTTTGTTGGGGTTTGAAAATGCGTGGTGGTAGGTATTATGCTTATTGTAAGACCATTGTTTCAGTCTTTCTTCTTACCATAGGCCATTGATCGAACTTTTCTTCGTACACAGCCCATCATCTTTTTCACGAGTCCTGTTTCCACTTGTTTGGCTGCCAAATTCCATTTCCGCTTAAAATCCTTCAGGTCAATTGGCCAGTACTCCTCAATTGTCCTTAGTTCCGGATTATTGGGTGGATTCATCTCCTTGGGAACCACTGTGACGCTATTTTCGCTGTACCACTGTTAAGTGCACCGTTTGAAAAATTCATGTAAATTTCTGCGTGATACAACGCAGAATTACGAGTACTGAATATAAATGGTTTGAAAGCTATTTGTCTGACAGAATTCAACGGACTGTTTTTAATGATTCTGTTTCCAGTCCCGTGGGGAATAACTTTGGAGTGCCCCAGGGAAGTGTATTAGGGCCCCTATTATTTATTATGTATATTAATGA